CAGATGTTCCACACTCAAGAAGATTATGAATATTCCAACAAAGGGTCTACTGGAGCCCTTCTCTTATTTCGCAACACACCCGTGAAATAGCTCGTGCTAGTACAACAGTGAAAAGGCGTTTTGAAACCTGCACAAAATCTCAGATCGAGCGCGGACAATTGGGGTTCGAATGCCTCATTTGATTTCGTTTTTGTGTTTTTTGTCACCTTTTTTCGTGAAGGAGGGAGGGTTGTAGCGAGATCTGTTTTCAAAGGAAGGTCTTATTCAGTAGAAATTGATCGCAACGCGATGGAGTGCCCTGGCCCTGACTGGTACTCAGCGAAGCCTATACCGGCCACCTTGTATAGGCTTGTGATTTCTTGAGACTATTGTGAATTGGCGACGGGGGGGGGGCATTTGCACTTTCTCTGCTTCCCTAGTCCCGGCTTACAAGTTTCACTTTGATGAAATCTGTGAACACCTGTGAATTTGGAGGAAGTCGTGTAGGCAACCTGATGGAACCTGTAAACTCGTACAAGCTAACGATATGACTCTCTAGATGGGTCGACACTTCGATAGGGAGTAGCAAAAGTGCAAAATGCCCCTCCCCCAACCTTCGTCACCGAACTGCCTCTGGATCACTTACCAGTTCGCAGCTCCAGAAGAGTTCAGAGGGCACACCAAAGGAAAACCAGCTACTTAACATGAACTAGCAAAAGGAAGTAGCGAAAAAGCATAATGTTCGCCTCCCACACGCATTTTAGAGAGCAAACTGTTTTCCTTCCACCCTCCCCCCCCCGCTTTTGTTGTCGCACTCTACAGAGAGCGCATGGCGTCATAAAGCGGGGGGCATAGCGCGACAATGGAGACGATCTTTCTTCAGTTCAACCCCTAGCGCCTTTCGCTCAGAAAGCACATGGCCTTTTTTGTTCATATGATGAGCGTGAAAACGGAAAAATGGGCAGGAAACCGTGGTACCGGTGGTGTGATTCAGAACATCAGAGACCACACGATAGTCAGCCATTGGTAGGGGAGCTCATTGGCAGAGAAGGAAATAATCAAAACAACCGCAAACCCCTTTTTATGGACGAGTCTTCAGGAGCTCCCGATTTGATGCGAAAAAACCGATACGGCACTTGTGTACAACCCCTTTCTTGCTATTGCTCACCCATTTTTCAGCAAAATTGCCACACAACACTTGAAGGAGGAACTAGTGTGTGAAGCAGCGTCAATACGCATGCTACCTTGTAATCAACACTTTCCCGCAGTATGTGCCCATTCCGAAAAAGAACCTCCAAGGGACGCAGGAAGCCACATATTCCACGTGGGAGGAGGAAGTGAAAGAAGAGGTAAACCGCAGGTTCATTACAGAATAGTTGGAACCTGTGCAATGTTACGGTCGTTGGGACTGATCGCGAAAGGTAATCTGTTCAACCGCAGCGGAAGCGTGTATAAGGCGCGAATCTTATAGTTAAGGCAGCGTTTAGACTTCGCGACAGGCAGCGCTTCGGCCGCGCGTTCGGCGCGATCGATGCGCATGCTTTCTACTGCATCGAAAGCGTCCAACGCGCGATCCAAGCGCTGCCATCGCGAAGTCTGAACGCTGCATAACAGTGCTGCGAAGGGGGAGAGGCTGAAGCGAGATCCTGTTCTGAGAGCGGGCGCACTGACACTACCTAATGTACTGACTGATGCACCGCCTCTCCCCCTCCCTTCACGTTAAAGTGCGTAGATGTGTGAGTGGGAGAGGCCACGTCGCAATTAGGGAGTTTCCAGAATGAGGTAGTATTTGGTCGCTGGGAGAAGGGGTGTACTTAGCCTGGGATTCTTTTTTATGGTTGATTCTTCATCACGGGCGATATAAGGGGCCGTGTTCGCCCGTCGTTGGGAGAGGGAGGGGTCGTACTTGCCTTTCAGAGAAATTTGCGACGTTGGGAAAAAGGTTTTCCCGATTGTAACTTTCCGCAGTCGTGACGGTTTCGTGGCCTCTCTCTCCCCCCCCCCTCCTTCCCCATTTCCCATCCCGCGCTCGACAACGAAATTTTGGGGAAACTAGAAAATCTCGGTAGATTGTGGGAAAACTGGTAGGAAGATGGGGAAAATCTAGAAAAGCGGTGGGGTGGTGGAAGGGAGGGAGGGGGGAGGACCGTACCAGAGGAGGGAGGTAGGATGTCGCATATCCTCTAAGTTCTCCAGCGGCAGGACGTGCCCTGGTGCGAAGAGCGCGCGTCACGGGATTCAGAGACGATTATCACGATCAAGTTCTTACGGGTAGTAGGTGCTCAGTCATTAGGCACTAGCCCGTGAGTAAGTCCCCCGTAGTGGGAAGCGAAAAAAAAACATCGGAACACTCTGAATAGAATTTACCCCCACCCTTACAGCCTGCGAGTTGGTCGTACGTCGGCATGCCGATTCGGCAAGTCTCGACGTGCAACCAATTCCGGGCAAGAGCACCGGGAATCTCCCTACGACGCTCCACGCAACGCTGCGTACATACGCAGTTCCGCATGTAAGCCCTTGTCCTTGCAGGGTGGAAGTAGTCCTAGTTGCAATGGTTGCAATAGTCACTCGTCTCTAGCTTCTTTGTATAGTCGTTTCAAGTGACAGGCGTGGTATATTCTCTGCGAATGAGGACAAAGATTATAAAAGTACAGAAGCATTTCGCGGATCACTTGACCGGGGAAACTGTCTTTGCCTACGACTCCAATCAAATCTGCACTTCCCTATTTCCCCATCTTGGTTTTGAACGTACCAAGTTCTTGGAGTACTGGATATTTATCGATGAGCATCTGACGAGCCTCCTGCGTCATTCCGTTGAAGTGATCGAGGATCCTCAAAGGCACTGGTCGACTGATGAACATTGGGGATAGTAAACACTGACAGGAAGTGCTTACGTCTTGGCCTCCGTCGGAGCGTCCATCATTTTACGTCGCACAAGTCGAGCCGTCTTATACACCTGAAAAAATCAATCGACTGAAAAAAAGACGGTCACGCCTACTTCTCCTGCGACATGTGGAGCACACTTGCACAATGAAAGGGGCTAAAAGACAACTGGATCGCCCCTCTAGCCCAGGGAACGCTTCGCGAGTGAAGTGACTTTAGGCGTTCCTATCGGAGTTCTGTGAGGGGCGTTCTCAAATGCAAAAGTGGATAGCTGCGCACCTTATTACCCAGATCTAACATGCTCCTATTTCGCATGCTTCGTTCCGAATAAACGGACCCTATGGCAAATCCGTTGAACCATCCTTTGTAGGATCCCAAACCCTCAACGATATATTGACGGCAGCAACCTGTGAGAAAGAGAGTTGTCTAGGCCAGCTTCATGCTGTGTTTGTCTTCCACTACGGGAGCGATGGTCTCGGGGAATCCACTTGCTTGATAATGACAAGAATTCGGGAGGCTTTCTTGAGCATGATAGATGATTGGTCGCTTCCCATTCAGTCTGCTTCCTTCTACTTACAGTGGAAGGCATCAATAATATTCTACGCACCTTGAATCTCCAATTTGTCTTGTCGTTCTGAGCATGGTAGCGTCCAGATTCCCCACCACAACGGGCTAAGCTAGCACTTACACATAACGGACGCATATAATAGAAACATCAGTGAAGGAAAAGCCCTAGCTAATCAGAATTGCCATAATCAGCATCAGCACTCTAGCTGGCCGCTCTGTCGAAATAGCAGACATGTTGAAAGAAAGGTGACGTCTAGGGCTACAGGAAACGTTACAGCAAACATTTATCGAAGAACGGTGTGGCCATAGCTTCGCCACAGAAGTGGCTCACATTGTCAAAGTCGCGTTGAGGATTTCTTTAACACATCGTGTTCAACACATCAGGGAAGGCAACCTACATACAGTCGCGAAAAAAAAACTTGGATATTTCCAAGTCGACAGTTTTAAATATGAAGAGTTTTAAATTGCACGTGCAATCTTTGTTTGTTCATGTCAAGTGCGCTTCAAAATACTAGTCTAGAAAATAAAGTTGGTTGATTAAATACGTTAACTGGATAGAATTTTGGAAGATTATTGCAATGCGGCATGCCGCTGCCACTCTGATATTGAACCGGTTTTCAAAGTTTCTAATGCTTTGCGATCGTCGGAAGAAGATCACACATGTTTGAGTGCTTGCTCACTTCTTCCATTTCTTTTTTCTTACAACTCTCGAGAGACCACTGTTATTCCTAAAGCATTGATAATTCCAAAACCAGTCCAATATCAGAGTGACAGCGGCATGAGAGTGACGATAATCTTCAACTTCCTGTCTCGGTAACGGCTTTCATCAAACAACTTATATTTTAGTCTTATCTTATTCTGTACCGGATGTGTTCCCGGCAATTCAATCAAGTAGAACACCGACGTTGACGGTTTTCGCGAGCACATCAGAGACAGTGTTTACGAAACAATTTATTAACCGAATACTTACAATAAAATAAAGGAGGCAAAGCAAATGAACAAGTAGACAGCAACAGCGAATGGTAAAATGAATTCTAGGTAGGTCCAAAATGAGGGGGGGAGGCAGCACCGCGATCTCGGCGGTCAATGCTGATCGAGGATGAGGCCCATAATCCATGAATCCACAACTCTTATATACGTCCTAATTCCCGCCAAGATCACGGCGCTTCCTGGGGCCTCTCAATGACCTGCCCTCCCACAATTCTTTATTTCTCAGAAAAGCACTTTAAAGCGCACTAGATTCGAGCAAGTTTTGTGTGCAATTCAAAAAAGTGTATGTAAAACTATTAAAGAGCGCGACTTGGGCTTGTTCTAACTTTTTTTTGTCCGCGGCTGTACATGCGACTATGCCCTGCAAAAAATGTGCCTGTCATCGTCAAGTACAATTTCCGAGATGGTCTCGCTGACATTCCGTTTATGTGTACACAAGTTTGTTCATTTCCCATTACCGTTATCTCCGCTCGGTTCTTACCCCCCTTTTCTTGAGAAAGTTTATGGCGATGTCTGCCAGTGGTGGCCTGTGCTGCGTGTCCAGTTCTTCTCCAAACAATACCTTGTAATTCCACAGAGTTTATGCACCCATTTCTAAACCCCTTCTGCCTTTACCAACATGGCATTCAAGTCATCAGCTAAGGTGATATAATCGCCTTCTAGAGTCGATCTTATGGTGCCGTCGAGCGGCACGTACAGCAGAATTGACCCCATCTTCGTACCTACTATCTCGGCTATGATTCGACCAGTGATCCTGTACACGGGAAAGACGCCGTCCTCGAGGAAGTCTACCGCTATGGTCACACCTTTCCGTTGATCTCCTCCAATGTGAAAGTGATCCTTTTCCGACTTTGCGGACCTAGAGCTCCTTTGCAACACACTTCGTGAAGGCACCGTACTTGTGACGTCATAGCATTAAAGACAGCCCCCGCGCTCATGTAGTACATGGTCATCCTTCCTTGTGCAAGTAGTACAGCCCCAAGCTAGAAACTATCCCACTCTCGCGACTCCACAGCGAGCGAGGAGCAAGCTACAGCCCTCAAAGTTCTAGTTCTAACGCCCGCTCAGTTGGACCGCCTCACTTGCTAGATGCCTCCGACGGAGGGCCGCTCAGTTGTTCTTTGTTGGGGCGGCGGGCATCAATCGGCGTTCGTGTCCTTTTCGCTGAACACGCTCGTGCGGATGAGTAATATGATTTGAAATTTATTTACTCAGTTGTACTTTCATGATGATTGAAAACATCGATGTCCAAAACTGTGGTATGATTTACAAATATTGAAATTTTAAATTGATCTTTGTTTTTACTTTTTATTTTTATTTTTATCGATTTCAAGGAATTCTTGAAATCAATAAAAATAAAATAAAAATAAATCTGCTTTCCTTTATCACATTTTATTCATTAGCAGCACGTACAGTCAACTTCATCCCATCTCGCAAGGTAAAACGCGTAACAATCACGAGCCAATTTTCGTGGTGCAAAAGGACGCACTAAACACACTAAAAGATGCACGCTACCGTAACCCTTAATTCGGACGCCGAGTTTTTAAAGTTTCTTTTCCTTTTCAAGAGTTTTTCTTCCGTGTTTTTGTTGTTTTTCGTATTCTTTTCTTTGCATTTCATGATATCCATTGCTCTGAGATGAAGGGATTAGTGAACCAGGGGTTGCACAATGACCGCAGGGCTGTGTGACTCACAGGGAGCGATCTCAGGGCACATCATTGGTTGGGGACAGAGCAGCCTCTGATGCCATATTCAAGTCACCTGACAGTATCATTTAGGTTGATGGAAGCCTCAAGGGTCTGTTAGCAATTAGCGCTCGAGTCAGGTATCCTTCGGAAGCCTCGGTGAAAAAAGGTACCTTACGCGCACAAGAATGGTGAGAGAGAAGAACAATTCTTCAACGTACCTTGTTGCTTCGCGAAAGCAAACGTTTGGTGACGTGCGCAGTGAGCTGAGAGCTTCCCTCCCCCTTCCCTTGCACTCGAGAATCGGTATTGCATTTACCTCTCCAATGAAGTTCGAAGCCTGACTATTTTTTGGTTCCATCTCAAGGTAATCTCTGCGCATCTTCACCAATTTAGCGTGTAGTGCAGGTTTGTTTTTCTTTATATGAGCATCGTACTCGTCCTAAAAACACGATTAATAGGCAAGAAACAAATTCATCGGAAAAGCGGTGTGTCGACGATAAACGGTGCTCCTACTCCGTCTACGACCCTGATATTTAACCGGTTTTGGACAGTGTGTACACGTGGTGTGTCATGATTTCGTCTCTGGGTGATGTTTCATCACAATTATTTGGCTTTTCTATCATATTCTGATGTCTTCGTGACAGAAGATGCTCGCCTTGGCGAGGATTGAAAGAATGTCGAAAATTATTGATGAATTACTGATCAAATATCATAAAATGTTCCGGAGATGCGCGCAGTACGACGATCCGCAATGTGTTGATCCCAAATTAAGCATAAGTATAAGTTTATTACGTGTGCATAAGGCATACGTGAGAAAAAAAGATCGGAACACAGTTACGTATACAAGTTCCCATATCGAATCAGTTGGAATTTTTCCAAAACAGTAATTACCCACCAAACCAGAAACTTATCGACCAGTTTCAAGAGGCTAGACCCACCATACCTCAATAACCTGTTGGAAATATGGTGTCTGAACTGTGCTAAAAATGTGGAAGGTATGGCTTTTGTTAACTTCAAATATACTCCCGCCGGTTCTTGCCATTCCCGCCGGTTCTTGCCATTCCCGCCGGTTCTTGCCATTCCCGCCGGTTCTTGCCATTCCCGCCGGTTCTTGCCATTCCCGCCGGTTCTTGCCATTCCCGCCGGTTCTTGCCATTCCCGCCGGTT